GCAATATGTCGGTGAGTTTTGTTTTCTTTTTTTTTCTTGCGTCACAATCAAGATACTTTGGTGCAGAGCACGGAATGCATATAAAACCACGACAAATGACTGTAAGGATTGGGATATTTGGGTAAACCCGGGTTACTAGAACCTCCATTGTAGGTGAATCACTTCTGCAGTAGAAATCTGTTCCTAGGTTCAAATGAAAGGCTTTTCCTGAAAGGGTGCACTCCCCCTCCCCTTCGCGCCCGGCACTAATAAGAGAGGGCTGTCTTTTGGATCATGGAGCCCGTTTTCAAAACGGCTTCTTGCACGTTGTAGAGATAGATGTCGAGACCAAAAAAAGCCTAGTTCTTTGATGCTGCAATTCGGGGAATGCCAAGAGGGGGCAAAAAAATCCTGAGAAATTAGACTCGGCGAAAAGCATTTCTATTTTTGAGGACAAAAGAACCAAATGTTTTTTACACGTCTTTTTTATTCGGGGCTTTCCGGACATTTTTTTTGAGGGAAAGTTCCGACCAGTTCGAACAGAGAGAAATGGGAATTGCAGGGACGCAACATTTTGTCAACTAAGGGATTTGAACTATCTATAGTTCATCTTTTCTTTGACATTCTCAGAAGTCACCAGCAAAACTGAGCCACACTTTTGTGGTTTTCGCATGTACCTCTACAACATGCAGCATACAGTTCTGATGATGGGCTCCAGGACCTTGAAGCCAACCCCCCCCCCCGGCCCTTATAAATGCCGTTTAACGTTTCAAAAGACTAAAAAAAGTAAAATTTTGTAGCTTCGAAAGGCTCCTTGTGCAATGTTTGGGTAACAAAATACGTGCGAATTGATGCACGAAAATGCTCTGATTCTCTGGAATAGCGCCATTTTTTCTAGTTCTTTTTTTCTCATCAAAAAAAGTAGAATTCATTCAATATTCATTACTCTCCTGAATGTTTACGTTGAGTAGGTAGGACGCTGACTTTTTTGAGTTTACAAGGTAGTATATGAAACGACGTTTTTTTAATAGAATGTGTACTAGTTAGGGCGATGAAAGAAGCGTTCGAGTGGAGCGTGTGTTCCTTGTCCATAAGGGGCACCAGCGGCGTGCTCAACAGCTGAGAGCGCAGCTGTGGTCCAATGTGTCAGATTCGTGAGCGTCACTTATGAGATAGCAAGTTGTAAATATGATGTTCGAACACGAGTGCACCATCGGTCAAGTGGTCCTCCCCCACTGATGACGTGATTCAAGGGATTTATTATAGAAAAATCCCATTTTTTCAGGTTTTCCCATACAATGTTGGGTACCGGCAACGTTTACCGATGCTATGGAGCAATATACGGAGAATTATTGTTGGGTACAAAATACCTATTGGGTGCCAATGCAGGTCGAACTTATGATAGCTTTTTCAAAAGGGTTATGTTGGTCGAGTAGTTGTAGTGTGTGTGTGGAGCCGTTTTCCATTTTCGTAATGAAATTCACACCCATTATCGTCAAGTCGTTTACGAGTCGTCAAGTCTATCTATGCCCGTCACAGAATATGCTTTTAAGGAGGACATTCCGCGCGAAATTTATTCGCGACGCAATCGACAAATTGGCTATTATCAATGGGTGCCTTTCATACTGGCCATCGAAGCCCTACTTTTTTATGTGCCATGCATACTTTGGCGAGGGCTCTTGTATTGGCACAGCGGTACGTTTTCTCAAAACATTTTTTCTTGTACAAATAACTTTTACAATACTCTCAAATCCCAGGATATTAGAAACCTCACGCTA